TTATTTTAATAGCAGCAGAGTGCTCTACCTCCCCTGTCATTCTCAGTAGAATCAAAGGAATAAACATCCTCCACAGCTAGTAAATCTCAAAGCCTTTATCAACATGTGGGAAATAAGCGTTGCCTCAGACACTCTTACCCTAGGATGGGATTATTGCTTAAAGATGATGATATTGTGGAATAATCCTTTTATAAGTATTCTTTTATAAAAAGCCATTTTTAGAAAAAAACTTAAGAAATCTGTAGGTAAAAACCTTTATTTCAGCTGTAGAAACTGATACTTTAAGCTTTAAAGTCTGTAATTCCACATAATATCAAAATTGATTCATGCCTGTGGTTTGAAATAATTTTTAATACAAAGACATTAATTTAAATTTTTTCTTATTATTTAGAAGTAAAGAATGCAGCTAGATCAAGTTACCCAAAATGTTCATATCAATTCAAGAATGCAACTACTAGTGCATTGGTTGGTGCCAAGTCCACTGAAGGAATCCCGGAACCTGTTCCACTTGTTAATAACCGTAAAGGGAGCCTCTTCCTACCCAACAACCCCTCGCTGCTGCACCTTAACTTATTGAGTTCTGTTGAACAAGGAAAATCTACGTACTGTAGATTGCAAAGGGCACTCAGCTTGCCTGTAAAATACCGCTGCCACTCCCAAAAGCCTGGGTTGAACCAAGATCTCCGTAGGTAGCTCCGTAGTTGGATGCATAAGGCAATACAGACTGGTTTGTGCATGGTTTTGCAGTCTGTTTTCAATGTGACTATGACATTACTAATGCTCTGTTAAGTGCTTACAGATGTGGGTTTCTCCAGATGCGGTGATTAATAAGTTAATCAAGATAGCTAGTCAACTAATGTTTCTGGGTGGTTTGTGCTTTACCTTTCATATGGTTTATTTGCCCTGAAGCATTTACATGCCAGGCAGAATGAGTTTACCAGGTATTCCAGTTCATGTGATGTTCAGTAACATAGATGTTATCTCAAATTCCAGCTCTTTTTGGGGTCTAAAAAACAGTGTCTGTAAACTGTTCTGCTAGTGACCTGGGAGAGGCAGTGAAGGAGACAGATTTGTTTAAAAAATAGTAACAAAATAACAAAGAAAAAAGTTATGAACTTGTCCACTGTTTCTGAAAGACATTCCCTTTATTTTGCTTAAAAAATGAAATGAGGATAAAAGTCAAGTAATATGTTGTTACAGATGTTCAGCTCCACATTAAGGCTGTTAAAATTACCAGCACATCTTAAATCAATTCATGGAACATTGTCTGGAGGTTATGTCATTGAAATAATGAATCCTCTTTACTCAAGAATAAGCAAACATGTTAAAACATCAGTGTAACTTTAAATTAAACTCCAGCATAAACCAGAGCATCTGAAGCCTCATTAGACTTGCCTGACATTTTTCTAGGACTGAGTCTTCCTGAACTGCAAAACTGTTAGATTCTCTGCCTATTAGACAAGTGAGCACTGGGTTGTTACATCAGTACATTAAGTGTTATACTTAGGGATGTGCAAACAAGCTCTTGAATTTTATTAGAACTCAGAGGCTGGATTGAGTTCTGATTCTATAAAATTCTGTGTCCAATTCTTGAACTTATTTGCAATTTTTATGAAAGCTGGTAAAGAAAGTCTGCGTAATATAATATGACTGTATTTTAATACAAATCTTGTAGCATAAAGACATCAAAAATACTAAAAATGGGGACACATTCTCATTAACAAAAGCACTAGGTCAAACATACAACATCAGAGTTGAGCTGTCATATATCACAGTCTATTATTCAAATATGCTTGTCTTTCATAAGAACAAGCAAATTTAAGACTCCCTTTTAAATTAATGCAGACACAGGAACCATGAAACTAAAATGGTATTTTATGGCTTTACTAAAAATTTTGCTAGATCTATTTCTTTAAATATGCAGGAAATTGATAAGAGTATCTGAAGGATAATAATTAAATATATTTTATATCCTACTTAATACTAAGAAGCCACTTGTGAGTTATCATTGCAACACTTTTGGGAACCAAGTCATAGGTAATGGTGTCCATTATATACCATTCACATATTTCAGCTTCGTGGATTCCCTTCCCCCATTCTTACGGAGCTGCGTTTCTAAACTGCAGATGCCCTGTAAACACTGCACACAGATTTCATTGAAAAACAAAATCTTGTTTGGATGTGATATGATTAAGATAGATCACCTTTCATTGCTGCAATGAGAATAAATGGCTTTCCTTGCTTTAGCAACAAATTGAGATCCCTCAGAAGGCTTTGCTAACAGGTATTAACTAGCAAGCCACATTAACCTTGGACTTTCCAGGCAATTGGTGACAGTAACACAGTTTGAATATGACGAGCACATATCAAAAGAGGGAGCTTGTTTATTGTAGATGCAGTACCAAAAATAACGGCAGACTGCTGGAAATCCAGTTCTAGAAATGGTTATTCTCGGTAATTACTAGTAAGACTTTGTTTTTTAATTGGATGGCAGGTAGCATCAGCTGGCAGCACTGGAGAACAGAAATGTTGGACCATATAGTACAAAAGATCCTTATTGTACTAACTCAGTATTTGAAAGGATCAGACAGGAGTCTTATTAGCTAGATGAAAACTTGGAAAAGTACTCTTTTTTAATAGTGTTTTCTATTGTTCAGAGAATTATTTCTGGCTATAATATGATCTACAGTTAACTTGTGTTAATGTAAGATTTTTACACGTGGTTCTGATGACTATATATCTTCCTTAAACTGTTAAAATAGTATAACAATACACTTTAGTTCTGGTGCAATACTGAATCTCTTGACAAACATTCTGTAACCCCATGGTAGCAGATTAAATTAAGTGAAATTTAGAATTTTTACTACCAAGAGAGCAAAACATATGAGTTATAGCTGGTTTCTGGAAGGAACATTTTGCATGGTTCTTGTTCCTTTGATCTTTTAAGTGGTGGATTCATCAGATTTGAACTGTATATTTATATCTTATAAAGAACAAGAGAGCACAGTGTATATCTTGAAAGAAACCTATTGTTTGTGTGGAATAGCATGCGAATAACTTTTTGATAGACAAGTTTAAAACAAGACTAGGCCATTTCCAAGAGAGTGATTTGCAGAGGGTGTTCTGAAATGCACAAATACTTGCACTTTGTTATAATCAGAAATAGAAATATTACTAACAAAATAATTCTGTGCATATTCACTTCATGTTACAAACAGCTAAATACTGAAGTGATCCAAACAAACTGTCACAGAAAGAAAATTTCAATTTGTGTATTTTTGAGAATTTTCTATGGGCTTATTTATCTCTCAGCCAAACCAAGAATGGTACTTGACTAATCATCAATAAGCTTTTCCATTATAGGACTCTGACTTGGAAAAAAAGAAAAGTCAAATGATAAGGAAATGGCTTTTTCTTTGGGGATGCTGCCCAAGAAGAAAAGAAAGTTAAGTTAGTGAAATAAATCATTATTAGACAGTCATTGCTCTGATCTAAGAATTACTTTTTACATCACTCTCTGGGGCATTTGTTTTGGGGTTAGCTTTTTTTTCCTTTTTTAGTATTTCTTTTGTTTTGATTTCCTTGATGTGTTAGGTGAGGCCAGGTCATTTAAAAAGACAGCACATCTGTCTTTTCAGGGCCCAGTCCTTCGGTCTTGACCAAGGCAAAATGAAGTTCTATAGCAGACTTGGGCAAACAGACAGACATGACGGGCTAGGATGCAGTCTGTAATAAAACAGTGTCAGAAGAAGGTTATAGCAGAAGGATATTGCTTAATTTCTTCCCAGATAAGTCTAGGGCACGTGACATGTATCCAGGTTTTGTTGTTCTTCCTACTTAGTTCGTTGCAAATAGAATTTTTTTTCCAGCCTCTGCTTGTGCACTGCTAATGTGTATTAAGCTCTTTTAATCTAGCTACTACTACTACTAATCTCTTTCCTTTTAGCTTTAAAGTAACAGCTTCCTAGGCATCAGTTATATTATCTTCTAGTTAATTTTTCAGTTAATAATAGGATGGAAAAAAAGTGTATTTTTCCTTCTTTATATTAGAATAATTCAGCATTAGTGTGAATTTGAGAAAGCAGGCATAAGATAATTCCCTTTGATAGCACATGTACACCTTTTGCGCAGATTATCAAGTGCAGTAACCATCTTGAAACAGCAATGATGATGGTTAATTCTTATAGATGAGTTATTTGGAAGCTGCACTTGTTTAAGCGATACATATTGTGACATAGGTTATCCAAGAGTAGTTTTTGATTGGCAAAACTGTAAGTGATTTTACATCTGGAAATTGATCTGTCATTGAAAATGCACCTCATCCTCATTAAAAGATTGCATAAGACATGCATCCTCTGTTATACAGGTATTGTCTCCCCACTTCCATTCAACCTCATTCTGTTCACTCCTGTTAAAATTCCCTTTTGTGAGAAGGGTAGAGTGATGAGGTCTGACTTGTGCTGGAGATCTGTGCACAATGGCAGGCTACGTTCACATTCCCGACTAACTGAATCATTGAACATCAAGGCATTGAATATTTTACATCTCTTCATGAAGACTCTGTTGTTTGGCATGTGAGGAGCAAGGACCAACTGGTGTCTAGTTCATTAGCAAAAGCAGGCTGGCAGCTGTTATGTTGGTATTACAAATAGTACTTTATCTTTCTGGGAATATAGCAGAGCACTAATTCTACTTTTCTGTAGCACAGATTAACTGAAAATAACGCTAAGAATAACCCGAATGTGGTTCCCCCCCTTTGTTTTTGAAGTATAAAACCAATTTGAACATCTGTGTTCAAACCCCTGGTATTCTTCCCTGCTTCTCCTTCAAACCAATCTCTTCGACTAACATGTATTTGATTTTTATTACTGTTGGGCCTATGTTAGCAATGAAGTATCAGTGCGTGAATGGACAGAGAGTGTGTGTTCTTTGCTACTTCACTTGTATTTCATCTTGCACTTAGAGCGGTACTTAATCTCATGAGTTCCTTATATTTCCAGTTGAAGATGAGCAGCCGTCGACACTATCACCCAAAAAAAAGCAACGAAACGGAGGCATGCGAAATTCACCCAACTCCTCACCCAAACTGATGAGGTAAGACTGTAAGAAACTCATATCTTCATCTCCTTTCTTCCTTCCTTTCTCTTCTCCTCCCCCCACATCAAAAATAAGGGGAGGGGGTGGAAAAAAAAGGTTGTTAGATGGTTTCTGAAAGGCTGAAGTATTTATTCTGTCAGCTTGTCAGCAGTTAATGATAGAGCTGAAAAAAATTCTGTCATGAAAAACAGTTTGAAAAGCTGTTTGAAAAATACATAGGCTTTAAAGTCTTAGCTGTCACCCTGTCCTGTCCGTGTGTAGTTCTTAAACAGCAGTGGCACTAATGATAGCACTAACCAATCAGGGGAACTCATGTGGTTAGTTTGCCTCAGGCAATTCTCTTTTTGTTGGATTCCCTCTGAGTAGTGTTTTCTGTACTTAAGGCCATATGTGAGATGTATCATCACAATCAAAAATGAACCTGAATATTACCTTCCTTTTATCCTGTCGATTGAAATCAAATTTCTGTTAATTGATTTAGACTGATAAAAAAGTCTAATAATCTATGTACTTGCCAAAGCAAAGTTCAAAACTAATGCAGTTTTACTCAGGCTAAAAGCACATTAATTATGAAATACAGGGATTTTTAAGAGGGTAGTATATACTCTAAAAGTGGGTGATGAAAACATCATCTTGTAAGTGATATTTTCCCCCTGTTGCTATGTGTGCATTATTTTACACCGGTATGCCTTTGTATAACTACGTAGTTTCCTGCCATAGGGCAAATTGCCTCTAAGACATTTGTTAAAACTAGAGCTGCAACAAGAAATTGAAATCTATTAAAATAATATGGCATTTGTATTCTGTCTCACTGTGCTTCACCTTTTACCTGCTCAAGTCAGTCAGAACAGAATCAGATAGCGGACGTGGAGTTTTCTACAAGGAGGCTGCTCCTGCTCTGGTTTTGCATATCTGAAGTAGCCAGGCTAGAACCTCAGTCCATAATTGTATCCAGAACTAAATACCATAGCAGAGATTTTCCACTGCATATATATATATACACACAGAAAAATGTAAACTTATTTACATGTATAAACAGACACATTCGTGCAGTTTGGGGTTTGGGTGTATGTATAACTGTAACTGCCCTGCAGTCACAGAGGTTAAGTGAAAAAAATTAATATGAATATATAGTTCCTTCCATATATAAAATCACTCATGACTTTTATTGTTGACAATGATTTTGTTCCTTTAACAATTCTGGTAATATTCCTCTTTGTATTTCAGTCAGTAGACTAGAATTTTCTTTGGCCAGTTACAGAAGCATCCATATTTGTTTATTGTTACTGCAATATAGGGCATATTCAAGGACGTAACTTCTACAAGTCGTCTTCATCTCTGTTTAGGCTACAAAACCAAAAGTGAGATTGATTCACAGAAGAAAATGCACCCAGCTGTGGCTTTTTTTTCCTATTGACCATCTATTTCTGTTAAATGTATCATTAAAAGTTCTCTGCCTTCCTGTTAGCTCAGCCTTGCCCATATGACACTGATTTACATGCTTGTTTACAGTTTATGGGAAAGAATAAAATGAACATACTGGCAAGCTTCTCATTTTTATGATACCAGTTGTCATACTAGCATCATTTTCAATTTACTTACCTTTGGACAGTCTTCTTATCTGGTGCTAATAGTTTTAGGAGATTCTGCCCCCCCACCAGCCCCCTCACCAAATCCTAATTTTGGGGAAGTAGAAATAAAAAGAAAGAGCTGGAGAGAGAGAGAAAGAGCTGAAACATTTGGAGCCGAGTACACTGTCCCTGTTTGCTATGTAAAGTATGCCTCATTTCTTTGATCTTGAGTAATAATAATTCTGGGGAGTTATACTGTTTTCATATGCTTCAAAGCTGTGTCAAAGTTTTGCTGCTTAAGGGTACTTCTTTATTCTATTGGCTCTTGGGTACTGAGATGACAGGTCCTCTGTACTAGGTGCAGGCTTTTTCAAGTCATAGCCTTCAGCAAAACATCAAATTACCAAATACAGGGTAACATACTTCTACACAAATGCCTTTCCTGTAGATATATTATACCATATATATTAAATACTTTAGTGTTACACGGTACATTTTATGTGCAATAGAAAGTGATGGTTTGAGGTAGCCTTAGGGGTACTTTTTTCCACAAGCAGAAAAAGCTAGTGTATACCGTATCAAGTATGGTTTTTACAGGACTTTCTGCCCGAAGGCCTTTGTAAATAAGTAATGATCAACAGATTGACTGTGGGTTTTTGAAAAGCATGCCTGTGTCAGTTTGCATGATGGGGGAAGATTTTCAAAGTGGAGCCTGCTTTCATTGCCTGCTGAAGAGGGACTGAGGGAGAGTAGTCATCCTGAGCCTGAGCTGTCTGCTCAGTAGCACATCAGAATTGCTAAATACAGGTCGAGCAGCGAGTGGAGAACTTGCCAGGCTTCCAAATCCAGACATTGTTTTCATCCTCTGCTCCCTTGCTGCTAAATTTATTCACCAGCCCTGTGTTAGCACCCTCAGCCTCTCCCCAGACCCAAGCATCTCTTTGTCTTACCCTTTATCTACACTGACTTAACTTTGGTTCAAGGTGCTAAATAAGAGAAAGTGGATTG